GTCTCCGGGCCGAGCTCTCCCTCCTCCGGCAACGGCGGGGATGGGGAGGGGGAGCGAGGGAGGGGCGCGGAGGGGTCGGGGGACGTTAAAATGCAGCATCATCCTCCGGCCCCGGCGAATTCGGCGAGTGTGTGTGTGTGAAGGGGCGGAGGGGGGAAAGCGGCAGCGGAGCAGCGGGGCCGGGCGCGGGGCTGCGCGGGGCGCGGAGCGGAGCGGGCACTGCGGAGCCGGCAGCGCTCCCGGTGCAACGCCCGAGCCTCGCCGGAGAAAGGGGGGCACCGGGCGGGAGGGGAGGGAGGGGAAGGGGGGCGGCGATGCTGCCTGGCTTGGGGGGAGGGAGGAGAGCGGGGGAGAGAAAAAAAAAGAGAAAGAGGAAAAAAAAGGCAAGGACCCCCCCTTCTCCCTCCCCTGCCCGGTCCCTTCCATCCCCGGCACACACACACWCACCCGCACGCACACACACACCCCATTGATCAATATTTGGCTGTCTTGCTGCAACTTGCTGCAGTCTTTTAAAGGAGTAGTAGAGAGAGAGGGAGAGAGAAAGGGAAACTGGCAGGAAGGGGTAAGGAGCTACACATGTCACATGTGCTTTCTAAGACGGCCAGGAGCATCTGCAGGCTGGATCTGGTGGAGGATGCTGCGGCAGGTGATACACAGAGGGCTCCAGTCGTTTTTCTACAAGCTGGGCTTATTCGTGAGCAGGCATCCGGTGTTTTTCCTCACTGTGCCCGCAGTCCTGACCATCATCTTCGGCTTCAGCCTGCTCAACCGCTTCCAGCCTGACACTGACCTGGAGAGCCTGGTAGCCCCCAGCCACAGCCTGGCCAAGATCGAGAGGAGCTTAGCCAGCAGCCTTTTCTCCCTCGATCAATCCAAAAGCCAGCTGTATTCGGACTTGCACACCCCGGGGAGGTATGGCAGGGTGATTCTCCTCTCCAAACCCGGAGGCAATATTTTGCATCAGGCTGATGTGATCCTGCAGATCCACCGAGCCGTGCTGGAAATGAAGGTGAACTACAAAGGCTATAATTATACTTTTTCCCATCTGTGTGTGTTGAGAAATCAGGATAAGAAATGCGTGCTGGATGATATTATTTCAGTGCTAGAGGATCTGAGGCAGGCTGCCCTCTCCAATAAGACAACAGCCAGGGTGCAAGTGAGCTATCCCAACACTAAATTAAAGGTATGCTCTTACTGCATGCTTTTGCCAATTAAAGAGGCAGCACTTCATTTCTTGTCCTAAACAGCAAAGAGAAATATAATCATATCTATCTCTCTCTATGGAAATGTGTGTGATCTGGGCTTTCCTCGTGAAGCAGCTGAATCCAGTGCCTTGCTTTTGTTCTGGGTGAGGAGGGAGGGTGGGGGACTGGACGCTGCCGGAGCAGGAGAAGAAGGGAGCGGAGAAGAGCCTGAGCACCGGGAGACCCTGCAATGCCTTGAAGGTTCAAAACATGGGGGGAAAGGGACAGGAGGTTGGTGGGGAGGATTGAGATCTGGTTTGCACTATCACTTTTTCCAGCCTCACTGCTGTGGTGGGATAATTTGTCTTTAATGTGGTCAGAGAAAGCTCTCCTCAAAGGCACAGWGAGGTCCTGTATCTCCCTTCCCCTGCCAGTGTTGTAGGAGCAGCAGGAGGTTTGGGCCAGAAGCAATTTCAGGTGTCCTGCCTTCTTTACCTGCATGCAAAGAAGGGGAAAGGAAGTGAGATTTTTTTTTTCCCTCTGGGTGTGAGAATTATTAACTCTGTCGCTGATGGATGGGCTGGAGTTTTGGGATGGATTCCACCAGCTAGAGGCTTCCGGCAAAGTTGAAACAAGGTAAAAGGTGAAAGAAGTTTCAGCCCCCGTAATTAAAAGAATAAACAATTTGGCACAAATTATCTCAGGACTATTTCCCTGGCACACAAGCACCCATCTGCTTTCCCTCCCATCTGGAGCAATTYCGCTCACCAGGACTAACCTGCTGTGAGTAAACAAGGCACAAAGTTTGCAGGTGGCTCRTGAAAGAAGTTTCTGTGGATTACAGTATATCTGCATGCTCCCTTGGGCATTGCAYCAGAGGCAGGATTTATTTAACTGACTGTAACAAACTCCCTGGCACACTATTTACTCATGGCTCAGGTCACAGGGAAGAGGATRCGCTTCTTGTAAACCAGAGATCCATGGGTTTATCTGGACCCTTTTTTCAAAGAGTTCCTCGGGGACAAGGGAGACAGTGCTCTTGCAAGTACCAGCACCAAGATCCTGAAGTTATAATTTKTTTCTTACTGTTCATTTACTAGAACAAAATCCCATAAAGTCAGTTCCTGTTCCGAAATCTGAAGCAGAGACATAGATTGATTTTATTGCTCTTTCTGCTTCAGTAAAAGGGCCAGGTGGAACAGCTTGGATTTGGTCCCATGGCTGTAGATGTTACAGTAATTGCTTTGTGGAAAGTTGTGGCTGCCTGAGTTGTGTGTGGAAATGAAAAGGTGTCCTTGCTACTGCTGAAAAGTCCTGAGAGCAAAGAGTGCTCAGAAAAACAAGTTATTCTGGATTAAATATCCCTGAACAAGTTTTATCTTCTAGCTTGCTGCAAAGGTTATCCCGCTATTGCAGAATTAAAATGCTTCCTTTGCATTTTGCTTATTTTAMAAGTTAAGATTAAGGCAGTTCAGTGAAGAACACTGGTAGTCTGGACACATAGTGTTATAATCAGTTTTATACAGAAATAGTCACCCTCAATGAGTGAGTACTCTCTCAATCCAGGTTAATTTTATTGTGTAGAGAAACCTGAACTGAGCTTGGGTAAACTAGGATGGAGTCACTTGTAATGTGGTTTTTTTGTTAGAATATTGCCTACAGCTACTCCTTTTTTAAAGATAAAAGCAAAGAAAATGACAATGTGGTCTGGATTAGTTACTTATTGGTTTGGCAGATAATTCASACAGAGGGAAAGGTTCTCCCAAAGCATGGATGTCTAACTGTGACACYGCCAAACACCAGCCCAGCATCTTCYATCCCMCAAGGAGTTGTKGTGTATCATCWTCTGGGTGAGGAAATAAATKTCCTTAAGTATCTCAGTTAAAACTGGACAGAGCAGGCAGCTTTCTACCCAGTGAAAGATGGTAAAGTCGCCAAGTCTGTGACTGCACTTCAGAGAAAAACCAGCAACTGCAACCCRTTTCTGTGGGTAGGGAGAGTTCCAGCCTTTACTGAGAAAGAGAAACACACTTTTCCACGGTTTTCCTTTTTCTTATATGGTAAGGGCTCTGTTATGAAGCTCTGTTATGTGGTCAACCCTGAGTCTGGGCTGGTCTTCATGGCATGTCTGCAGAGACTCAGYGTCTCTGGTCTCTTTGGCTCCAGCTGCTGGGATTAAATTACTGTCTTGTATAAATTAATTCACTATTTCATCTCTGTCATTTCTGTTGTCCCATCTAACAAGAATTAGGAAGCTGAGGGTAAAATTCTCTTGCTCTCTTTCAAGCCATGGGCTAAGTCTTGGTTTAATCCAGGCTCTATTGACTGACCTCCCTCTCTTTGTGCCTCGGAGCAAATGTTGTAGAATCCTGGTCCGTGTTTCTTGTTTTGAGATGTCGTGTTTAACCAGAAATATCTCAAATGCTGCACCCACTTGGGCACATCAGTTTCTGGATGTTCAGCGAAGGCAAACAACCCCTGTGGCWATATCTGTGAGGTTTTTTATTTCTTTATACTTGAGTTGTGACATTAAGGAAAAGTTACAACTAAACCTCGTGGGGCTGCAAACAAGAAGGCCAAATCTGCCTGCTCTTATTCAGTGTGGGCCAGTGTTCATCGCATTCACTGGTCCATGTCAGCTTGGGATCCTTCTCAGCTAAACTTTCCTGCACCATTAGGACTCACCAGGATCTTCTAGGTTGCCTCACTTTCCCAAAGGTTGCATTGCTTGGTTAATCCTGGTAGGTTTTGCTCTGCCTTGTTCTTCTAATAATGGCCTCAGAGTGAAAATTATTCTAAAAACAATGTGAGTTTTCAATACTGAACCATGAAGGTGCTCCAGATGTGTTTAGTTTGCAGCTGGCATGGGTCACGTGTCAAACTGCACTGGTCCGGGACCCACAATGACAGCGTCGATCTGTTCCACTCCCGCTCCATCCGGGGACTGCAAAATTATCTTTTAGTTTTTTATCTCACTCAAGCCTTGTGAGTAGCTCTCACTTTATTTCTCTTCTCATCTCCTGATGGAGGCCAAATCGGTTCAAATTTCTCAGGTGAGGCTGGCTGAAGGCTGGCAGGGGGTGAGCTCTTGGCAGGTCTCCCACGGGGACTTTGTGGGAACCACTCAAGCARGTTTGGAGCAGCTGTTATTGGGTTGCACAATCTGATGACACTTCTCAGCTTYTCCTGAGGAAATCTGGATGTGAAGGATAATTGTTTAACTGTTACTTGCTGTAGTGTTGGAAGAATTAATAGCCCAAAGTACTTCTGCTTTCACTATCCCTCCGAAAGTTGGGAAGTTGGTCTCTCCACTCACCAGAGAAGGGACAGAGACAGCACCCACAGTCTGAGCACAGGCTGCAGGGTGATTTCCAGGGTCTGAGATGGGTTTAACATCCACTCTGGCAGCTCAGGGGTCACTGTGGGCTAGTGCAGGTGAAACAGGATGTAGGAAAATGCCAGCTCCCATTGCTTTGGGGACACAGTAGCCTGTTCACTGCAGTCTGCAGCCCAGCCAGAGAGTGACTTGCCCAAGGTCATGCMGGCAGACAATGGCAGAGCAGCAGAACAAAGCTGGATGTTTGAAGTCTTGATGGAGACATTTGTGGTACATCCTGGAGAAACATTGCTCATTCTTTCCTCAGTCCAGGACATAAAAATGATGTTCYTGTGCTTGGGGTCTGGACTGTGCCCTAAGTTGCATAGACTGGGCAAAGCTCTACTGAGAACTAACCATCAGTCATCAAACTGTTAAATCTCAAGTTCTGGCAAATATCAGCATTGTTTGTGTCAGTTGAGACTTCCAGAACGGTGCCTGGGCATGACCTGGGAGACAGCATGGGAAGGAGTCCACTCTGGGTTGGTAAATCTGCTCCATCCTGCCGATAACAGTGCGTAGTGTTCTTAGAAGTGAACTCTTTCTGCCTCCGGGGCCAGAATGTGGTCTGAGGCACAGTTCATTTRTTGGTATAAACAGGATGTTTGAGAATGTGAGGATTACTTCTTGTATACCATCAAATATGAGGGAAGATACTGTTCATTGACCCTGATTCACCTATAACCATGGAAAATTTGCTGTCTTATTCCAGAAAAAAATAAAACCAAATAAAAATAATGAAAATTATTTCTGAACACAGTCCTTATCTGGAAGGGGAGAAAAAAGCATAAAAATATTTTTTCAGGTATTTCCTCTTTACTGTTTCATTGTTTCTTTTCATGTTTATTTGCTAGTTTGTCTGAGAAAGGATAATAACTGAGAATTTGCCTGTCTGAAATCAAAATAAATATGACAACTGCTGGTTTAAAGGAACCATTGTCAGCAGATTGGTTTCTGTAATACTGCCTTCAATTAATTAAGTATCAGTCATTTATGAACACTAGACGAAATAGCAGCCAATAAACCAGAGATCTCTATTACCACATTTGTGATAAACACATCAGCTGGATATTAAATCTGCTCTTGCTTAAACAGAAACGTTTCTTGAATTCGTTTAACATCTTGAAACCTCTAATTGCAGTTTTGCTACTGGCCAGATTCTCAAATTTTCTCACATTAATGGCCACACTTTTAAATGAATCTTGCTCTATTCTCCACGAATCTTGCATTCGTGGATTCTTTCTGACTGCTCTTAAGATTAATCCCTCCTTGGATGTCCCTGAGGCATGGGCCACCTCCCTGGGACAGGGAAYATATGAAAGCAGAGCCCACCTACACCAGAGCAGGCATCTGTGCACCAATAATATCCACAAACYGATTATTCCTCCAATAAAATCAGTTCAGGGGTAAGATTGCCCTAACTCTAATGAGCAGATGCTGCCTTGGAGGCAGAGTGGCTCTGCACCCATTTATGATGCCACCTGTCCCAATCCAAGCATGCACTCAGGATCTTGTGAGCTCCTCTGCGGCTGGAAAAACCTACCAAGTCAAAGCGAAATAATAAAACACGTGCAGGGAGAAGATCAAAAGAGGGAGGCTAAAGGCTGCAGATAGTTTTCATCT